TGTGTACCCATAGAAAAGGACTGCCATTGTACACTTCAGTGTAGATTGAAATAGTTGATCTGAACAGATACAGAAGGGAAAGTGAAATTAGGACAGCACAGAAAATAAAACCCAGACATATTAGAGAGTTGGCTATTTTCATGATTTTTATGGGTCTTTGGCCTGAAATACTGCCTACCCTCTCTAAAATTTATACAATTTGATTACAGATCTTAGATCAGCTAACAAGAATTTATATGCCTTTCTTTTGCCTCAGTCCATCTAACTACTCTATCTGCTCAGTCATTCAGCTAGACCAGCAAGCCTTTACTGAGGCTCAGCTAAATCCAAACAAAGCATTGGCCTGATACTGAATTTATAGAAACAAAACATAGTTACTGTCTTTAAAAAAACTTATAGTCCTTGAAGATCATTTATTTACTATCTTTCCCAACATTTAGGTGACAGTGTAAGGATAGGTGATAATATTATCAGGTACTGAATGATTTAGCTCTTTTTATCAATCCTAATTTGTCCCTTAGTTATTGAAACAATTCATGAGGAAAAGAGAGGAGAGGAATAAACAAATATTGCCACAGCGAACATGTCTGATTTCATGCTGAATTTACTTGACACCTGTGAACAAAATACACATTCTGTGTCATATAATATTCATTCACAGACATTAATACAGTATGAGTGCTTGCCTGCTTTTTTCAAGATATGGCATATGTAGAAAGTGATAATATTTCTATGCTACACCAAAGTAAATGGACAAGACAACTTGTAGCAAATACCAGCCTTGGAGTTCTAATATGTCAGCTTTGTGTGGCATTTGGAAGGTCTGGGGAAATCAGTATTTCTACACAACTTTGTGTTGTCAGAAACATAATTTATATAACCTGATCCAGACTGTCCCCTTCTTTGCTGACCGAGGCTTCACTAACTTCATTTTCCCATGAACAGTTTGGACTTGCTGATTATAATGTTTTAGTAAGGCAATGTGTAGAATTTTCCCAAAGGAAAATACTGATACAAAGCATTACCACAGGTTGGAAACAGCTTTTTATAAAGAAAATAGACTGGCCCTGGATTCGGTAGTCTCAGGCTTCAGTTCTAACTTGGTCACCTTTGGAGAATCACTTCTTCCTGAAATACAATTTCCTTTATCTTTAAAATGAGAAGGATTGGCTTTGTGGACTAGAACAATCACTGTTTTGAAGTAAATTCAAAGTTTATTAAAAGAGAAATTTTTTAATAACGTAATAGTTTACTTTTACATCATTTTGTACCTTTTTCCATCTCAGTTGTAATCCCCATGGGCTCCCCAACACCAATGCATCCGTGTGCCATCACCATGCACTTCCCTCCCCCCACCATTTTTGTTTATTTCTTTGTTTTTGTTTTTGTTTTAAAGATTTATTTATTTGTACAGAACTGGGGTACAGGCCAGAGATGCAGGTGTAGTGAGAAGATTCACCAGAGAAGAGTGGGGAGCAGGACAGGCAGATCGATGAAGTGCACTGCTGAGGGGAACAGCAGGCAGGTCAGGAGAGGTCTATAGCACCATGGGGATCACCTCTGGGGCCGGGGATCAAACTCATGCTGAAGTGGCTTTAGCTTCTTAGTGCTACATTTTAACCCACTGTACCACCAGGGAGGGCCCCCCACACACCGTTTTTGATCCCTCCCTCCCCACTGTTTTTTGATCCTATTCCACCCCCATAAAATGTCTCTGGTATATAGTTGTTCATTATTATTATTATTATTTTCTCACCTGGTCCTTTATACTCCTGCTATGAATAAAACCATCCAACATTTTTCCTTTTCTTTCTGGCCTATTTCATTAAGCATGATCTTTTCCAGCTCCATCCATGTTGTTGCAAAAGATATGTGTTTTTGTTTTTTTGCTTTTTTTTGTTGTTGTTGTTGTAATATTCCATTGTGTATATGTACACATCTTAAAAGAGAATTTTTTTAAGGGATCATTGAACGCCAAAACTGAGGGCCCATGCCCAGGTGACCAATCTAGTTTTTTTCATCACCTGTCCTAACCCCACCCCTGAAGGTTTTGACCCTGGTTTTTGTTGATAGTTACATGCACAGAAATAACACAATTGTTTTTCTTCTTAACAAAGAATAAAGACATCTTATTAATTTCTAATGTGTTAACTAAAAGAAGTTGGTTTCTAACAAATAGTTGCTTAGAGAGAACACTATTCATAACTTCAAAGAAATCTCTTGATCTTAACAAAGCTAATTTAGACATAGGTATTTGTATTGAGAAAGCTGTAGAGGCCAAAGATTATTTAATTCATTTATCCTAAAAGTACCTTTTTAGGCTTAAGGACACAGCCAAACCTACTATATCATCTTCCTCTTCCTGCAAACATGGCAGAGGCTTAGTTCAGGAACTTTTGGATGGTTCGTTCCTTTGTTTCTCACCATAGGGCTCTTCATAGGTGACAAGAGCCATTGTTCTGCTGACTCTGGCCTCTTAAGGGAACCTTAACAGGACAGGCAAGACATTTTCTTTTTTGAGCCACAAATAAGACAAAATTTAAGCCACCCTCAAGCTCTAATATGCCATTATTTTCTACTGTCTTTATAAATCTTTGCAGTTAAGTCAATTGCTTTGTTATGAGTGTTAGCTATGTAGTAGACACTTGGTAAATGGCTTCCTAAGAATGCTTAGGGCGAAATTTGTGGGCTCCAAAGATCTTGTTACTGCTTAGATGCTAGAAGAATTCAAATAAAACTGAGCTACTTTATGAAGAAAAGAAAACAGACACTGAAGAGGGTGTCTGAGAAGAATGAAACTACCTATAATTTATAATTAGTCTTTGAAATGAGTTAAGTGGTAGACTTTGCAATTCAAATATTCCCAACCAGCTAAACACCTCATTTAATTAAAGCTTGCAGCCATAGTAACCTTAACCTCCTAAGTTTTGTGACTTTCACTTCCACAGACACTTAATACAAATACATCAGCAATCTAAGCGCATATACAAAAGCTAAGTCTAGGTGTCCAACTTTGTGGAAGAAAAATTAGTATCACAAATCTCATTAAAAACTTTTTTTCCCTAAGTCCTTTCTATCTACCTTGTATTCAGTTACTAAGTCTGTTTTAATGCATAGCAGAGAAGACCTGTAGGAATGTGTAGCTAACCAAGGATTGTAATTAGGGTGACATTTGCCATATATTTTCTCAGTGCTAGAAATTCACCTGAGAGATTCCTTCTATAGTTGGGGACATATATCTACATTGTGCATTTCCATGTATATTATATGTGTGCGTGTGTGTGTGTGTATGTATATATCAAATATGCATGAGTGATGTATATCTGGTAATAGTGTTATCAGTCTTAAAAGGGTTTTTTTTTAAATAAGCACATTAGTTACTGATTTGTTATGTTCAAACATAAATTTTCCCTTTTTCCTGTTTTTCACTAGTAAACATTGATTGAGTCATGTGTCAGATATGATTTACTTTTGTCCTTTTTAATATATCAAAAAATACTAAATACATAAAAATTCACCCAATAATATACCCTATTGAAACACAATCTTTCAGATGCAATAACAAAAGTAAATACATACATAGTGTACATATATGTCTGTATACATGTAATTTTCTTATACTTGTTAAAAAAGAATATTTGAACCTAGAAGTAAATAAGCAAAAGAAATTTGGTCTTGTGTCAACTCTTGGGAGTATTTGTGACAGTGAGAACAGGAGATTAGGAAGGAAAGGAGGGAAGGAGAGAAAAGAGGAAAAGTAGTCGTGAGCCTTAGAGGCAACACAGCAATTAGTGAGCTTTACCTTAACTCCTGCCACCACATCTGTAGTGAACTGTAGCTAGTGGTCTATTGGTTATTCAATCAGTTCCATCATTAAAATTAAGTTGACTGCTCACCCAAATCAAACAAAGTGAAAAATAATATAAAGTCAGTTTTAAAAAGTATAAATTATCCATAGATGTTAGAAGTGGTATTTATGTACTTCAGCAACTGTGAAAAAGAAAACTTGCTGAAGCGGTGGTACCTCATCTTAGTGTCTCGAATTTTTTGCCTAGGTACTTTGTTCTTTACCTGGACTAACTGTCTAGTTTGCTGTCTGCTATCTAGTCTTTGATATCTGCCCTCCAGGTGCTGCCTTTTTTGACCTGCTGGGTTAATAAAGAGACTGTTGGTAATGAAAAAAAAGAAAGAAAGAAAACTTGCTGAATGTCCTTGCAAAGCCTAAAAAAATAAAATCTCAGGGATTTTTTTTCCCTTACTGGCCAAAAATTCATTCCAAGTACCAGCCTGTCTCATTTCAAAATGTTTCCCTTTCCAAGGAAGCGGAAGTGGTTATATTCTTTCCCACCAAACTATGGGTGAATTATAATTATCCTACCTCTTGTGGGACAATGAAGCAGTAAACATCTGCTATACTGAATCCAAAAGCCTGTGAATGAAACTATACCAAAATGTGAATCATACCTGGACTTTGGATTAAAGGATTTATGTAATATTTACCTTTTACTTTATATTCTTTGCAATTCAGAATATGAACTTGTTAATTCTGGTTCCATATGCTGACTGATGGGAAATAACATGGATTTCATGCATGGACTCTTACTTTAGCATTAAAAAATGCTTGTTTTAAGGTAGATGAAAAATAATTATTTATAAAAACTTTTTTGTTTGATTTGTTTTTATCTCCTTCCAATTTCTTACAATTAAGAAATTTGAAAATGCACGATTTAAGATGTGAGGGAGGCCTTTTAGTTTTTCTTTTACTATAATGACAACACAGTGGGAAATGTTACTTTAAGCTTTATTTCCAAAAGAGGCAGGCTTCTATCCTTCTGTTTACCTCTCATAATTTTGTATATCATAGGTATTTATTATAGCACTAAACTGTTCACCTAAAGTAAAGTAAGGAAAACAATTTCAATTTTAAGTTCTAGCTGTAAAACCTATATAATATTACTTGCTTTTAAAATTTGTTGTGCTTTTCTGTTTTTATATATTAGAGAGCAGAAAGACAAACTCGAATTATGGATGCAACTCAATATGCAGAATTCTGTGAAAGCCGACAATTAAGTTTCTGTAAGTGATCATTTAACATTTGTTTCATGTTTAAAAGATTACTGTTGCATTTATACTAAATTATGACAGGATTGCTTTTTATTAGAAATTGGGAAACCTAATACATGCATAAATATATTCTTACAGAAATCGTGTCTGCATAGTACAAAAACCTATAAAAGATTTTACCCCATTCTACTGTCTCACAATTAAAAGTATTAAGAGTTTTAAAAGGGTGCTAGTAATGCACAGAGAATGAGTCACATTAATCTGAGTCAGAAAAATTGAATTTTTCTAAATGGTCCCATCTTCATTTATTTTCTAGCTTCTTAGTCATTTTATGCTAGTATTACTGATTGTTCTTGATCTGTAATGGATCCTAATAGCACAGTCATGACATTTAAAAGTGTCTAATATTAAAAAATACCAACCTTTCTGTCTACTTATGCATACTCCTATTGTCACAAAAAAGTGTATCAATAGTCGCTTCCATTTTTGTCTGTGACATCCTGCTGTCCTGCATTCAGTGCGAGCCTTATTTAACTTTTTCCTCTTGTAACACTAATAGCCTAGTGGTAAAACTAGTAAGTGACCCACCATAGTACACAGGCTTACTGAAAGTACAGAAAGGCTCATGATAAATAGTGGATTAGATCTTGTAGCAAAATATCTTTATAGCAACAGTGCAGCGATGACTAAGCCACCAGGGGTAAAGGTCAAAGAGTAAGCGTGACGAAATGTCCAGTTAAAAAATATGACAAAGTAGCACATGGTCTGAGGGATTACAGAAACAATGTCATATTAAAACAAAAAGCTATTATATAGTCACAATGGAAACATATTTGATTGGGGAGATGAGAACTTCTTTTATAGATCATAAAGTGCAAATAAATGACACATTTCAAATAGTGCCCCATGTAAATGTCAGTAAAATATAGGAAAACACGTTTTAGAAGATTTTTTTTCCCTAACTAAATATACTTTGCAGTCTGACTAACAATTTGTCATTATACATCTGTGAAGCATTAAGTAAATGACACTTCAGATCATGGCAATTTCAGCAAATAAGAGGTTTTTGTATTGTAATTTTTAGGTTTAAAAATGGCATTTAGATCTTTTATAAGTATAAATCGCCAGTTTATAAAGTAACGTTTAGTGTTATTGACTTATTTTTTGAATCATATTTTAAATTTAATTCACTTAAAGAAACAGAAGTTCTGTTTCAGACTGAAACATACAGTCTTTGAAGTACTTTAACTGACTTTTTATTTCAAAATCAGATATTTAGTAAGTTTTGATTTTTTATTTTTAACTCAATAGACTGAAATAAAATAACTAACACTATGTATAATCATAGCATAAACAGTACATTATGCTTCATCATTTTCTTGAAAAGGGAATTAGCCATTTAAAAACACTACTTTCTGTGGTACTCATAGGTGCTTTACTATGAATTGTTATGGAGAGAATCTGTTTTATATTCTAAAATGCTGTGTTTGAGAATGCTTATTAGCCCAAGTGGATATATGGGTGTGATTCCCACACCCATCAAAATGTTAGGTGCTTTTCATTCCTCTCCTTCTAATAAATTACTAGACATAGGAATTATGATCCTGGTCATACATGTCTTTTTTTTTTTCTTTTTTTAAGATTTATTTAGTTACGCATACTGAACTGGGGTACAGGCCAGAGGTGGAGGGACGGTGAGAGGATTCACCAGAGACAGAGTAGGGAGCAGAACAGGCAGATCTATGAAGTACACTGCTGAGGGGAACAGTGGGTGGGTCAGGAGAGGTCTGTCATTCCATCTGGGTCACCTCTGGGGCAGGCGGGGTTTGAACTCATGCTGAAGTGGCTTTAGCTTCTTAGTGCTGTGCTTTAACCCACAGCGCCACCAGGGAGGGCCTGTACATGTCTTCTTAAATGTATGATCATAGCATGCACAAATTGGGACTACAGTTATATTTTAAATAAATTTGTATACTGTGAGAATAAGTTGCAGAATCAGGACACTGATCAAATCCACCAGCTTTTTATTATATAATATAAACCAGATTATTTGTATGTTAAATAATTTCTCTTAAAATTTTACAAAGTTTAGTATTAATATTAATTCACAAAGATTTAACTTATTAAATCTTTTTCCAGTCATTTCAACCTTTTCTTGGATTTGGATTTTTGCAACAAATACCTAGATTTTCTTTCTTTTCTTTTCTTTTTCTTTTTTTTTTTTTTGATCAAACAGTGTTTCGCTGTACCTTAATTTCAATAAATATAATTCCTTTTATATTTGGGGATATGTATGCTGTCTTATTTTGTGTTTTAAATTTACTGGTTTTTGCTTTAACTTTTCCTTTTTGTTAAGTTGATTGAATCTTATTCCACTTTTCCTCAGCCAGTTTGCATATATTTCATATATTCTAGTTTGATCATTTTAGTTGCGGTCCTTAATTTTTTAGAAATACACATTATTGACTTAATTTTTTTTTAAGTTGATAAGCACTTAAACATTCCTTTTGGCCTACATTTGTTTTTCCAAAGACTCTGTAAGTACTTAAAGTGCTTATTTGGGGGTTTAAGAAATAGCTGTATTTTGCCCAGGTACTTAAATGATAGCAGAGCAGTAAGCTGTAAACAGATAGTTATTTGCACAAATGTGATTCCATTGTCTTTTTGGCTCTGTTGTTGGTAAGAAGTCTGCTGTGAGTCCACTTGTTCTATTTCCCATGAGAGAAACTAACAGAATGAAGATTGGTTCTCCAGACCCTTTGGTATGTTAGAAAATGAATAGAATGACAAATATGTACAGAAGGGGAAAAGACAGAATCTCTATCATAAAAGGTTCCAGGCAAAAAGTATGCCCTCTGAGAAGGGCTATTTTCACCTAACCCTAAGGCAGTGATTATACTGAAGACATTAAAGTTGCAGATAAATTTCTTCAGGTGAAATGAGCATTACTGAAAGCTGTGAGGAAAGAAAAAGGTATAGAAAGACTGATGAGAAAGAATGAGTTTAAAATAATGAAATAGTATGTACAGAATAGAATCTTGAGAAATACTTGAATTGTGCTAGTGATCATTGGTAAAGAAGATTAAAAGTGCACGAGAATTCACTAATCTTCCATTTCCATATGAAATTACTTTGTATTTTATACTATGTATAACTATGTTTTAATTCTATTACCACCTGAAAACTCCAGTTATGTAAAAAGTTGGTAATCCTAGGAACTTTTGACTGTTGTTCCATTACTAGGATTACTCTTTTTCCTGATATGTTGGGAAGAGGGTTAAAGAAGGAACTCATTCATGCCCTCCTCTTCTCTTAATAGAAACAAACTTTCATGATGAGAGAAGTCTGTGCCTCTTTTACTGGAACAGCAGTACCCTGGAAGCATCTGTCTATCAGCAACCTTTCTCCAGATAATAGGAAGGGAGTTAGCTCATAGAATTTTCACATGTTTTTGGAATAGCAGTAAACGGAGAGGCCCCTTTGTACATCTTTTTTGATACATAGAAAAGTTTGAACTTCATCCTTTTATTCAAGAATGTCTTTTGTTCATTTGTTCCATTTAGCCTTGTTTTTTGTCTTTTTTTTTTTTTTTTTTTTTTTTAAATACCAGGCACTGTTTTCAGTGCCGGGGATATTCTGGTAGACATGTGGTCCCTTCCCTGCAGTCTCAGTTTTTATAATTTAGTAAGGAGGCTGCTGATTTTGTTGCTTAGGTGAATGAATATGATGGGGTACTAAGAACTATACTTTTCCTGAACTTAAAAAATAAATTGTTTAGAGCTTAGTCACACAGTATCTCTTTCTGTGTTCCTAACAGTCTGTCAAAAGGAGAAATGAATAAGGCACATTTTATTGATCTTGCCAAATTGCTGTCTGTTGACTTTAACTTCAGAAGTATTCCACAGATGTTAAACAAGTGTTTGTGAGCTATTGCAGCTTACTAGCTGGATGGAATGTTGCATGTCAGAGAGTATTTGGAAGATCAGTTACTTTAGGGAGATAGCTTGAAGGTGGATTATCATAATTCTGCCACAGTTGACAGCTTTGGATATGCCTTATGATAGCAGGACTTAATGTCCGCTGTGATTTATTTGAAAGAAAACTCTTCTGTACATGGAACCTATGAAGATTGTATCTATAAGGATTAAAAAACCATACTTTTGAGTTACTGTTACATGTTTTATAGACTTATGGGACCAGATTAATCAGAAGAATAATCGGTGGATTTTTTTAAAAATTATTATGTTATAGAAATGATAAAATCTTTACTATATTAATCTTTTCCCCTTAAGTTACTAGTTAAATTAATAATATCTAATGGATATTAGTCTCTGTTTAGTTCTGTGACAGTTCAGTGATATTTAATGGAAGATTCCGTATGTGCTTAGCACTTCTTGGGTATGTAGAGAAACATGCATGGTGTTTACATGCAAATAATTTATAATATAATTTCAGAAATTTGAGAAATATAAATTTGAGAAAAATAATAAGCAGACATAAAAAGATGTTGATGGTCTAAAAGTTCAATAAAAGACCAAAAGTGTGTAGGTACACCTTTGGCCTTATTAGATAGGACTCATATGAATGAAGAAATTTGATGGGAGGACTTTCTGTGGAGGAAATGGAGCAGGACTGAACACAGAGATTTCAGTTAAGGCTGGCTGACATTTCAATAGGGGAATAATTTAAAGGCAGGTTGGAATCAGTCCAGATAATTTTAAGTCAGGTTTAAGAATTAAAACACCTTTGTAATTAAGAAAATGTAACCCCATACTTAACTCAAGCTAGATGTCAGTTCATTTTATTCATTTTTAATTTAATGACCTTGAATATATCTTGTTTAACATAGGCATTTGGAAAGATGTTAAAATGCAATTTCTATGTATTCCTTTTACTCATCATGGTTCTTTCTTATAGAATTTTCTTTCTACAAGAATAAATTCAAGTTACATCCCACAGGTTACCTCTTCTGACTTGATATAATAATATAAACTATGTCAATGGTAACTTAATCTGATATAGTGTGAAAAATGCTAAGCATTTGTTGGTTTAGTATGCTATTTTATAGAGCATACATATAAGTAAAGGACATAAATGCGTTAAGGATTTCTCAGGGCTAGAAAATCTAGACATGAGTAAGACTTCATAAACATAATTTTCATATGCAGGTTTAAAAATATTTCCTTTTGTGATTATACACAATATAGCAAGAGTTCAAAAATTAAATTTTCTCCACTTCTTTTTTAATGGCTAGCCAAAAAAGCCTCCAAATTTCGAGACTGGTTGGACTGCAGCAGTATGGAGATAAAACCCACTGTCATCGCTATGGAAATTTTAGCATATTTAGCATATGAAACTGTAGCCCAGGTAAGAATTCTTATCTATCCTAACAGGCCAGGTATACCATGTCTTATTTCCTTTATCTTTATACAAGGTCAGTTCTTCCTCCAGCAGTGAGACAGCCATGAATTTTCCCAGTGGCAATCTTCCCATTGTCTGAAATTCAATTTGGTTATGTTTCTGTGTGTCCTCAACCCTGGTAGGTGTTAAGGTGAAAGTGATGGATTTTTGCTTTATTCTAATAAGAAATGGAATCTCCGCCTGCCTACATTTTTTCAACATTGAATTCTAAGAACCATCTACCTTGTTTAGATACCTTTCTGGACATGTCCAACCTGTTGAATGCTTACCAAAATCTCATTCTGGAATCATTGTCTTCTAGCAGCACCAACATGTTTAAAATGTAAATTCCTAGGCTTCGTTCCAGAGCAGACCTACCAAATTAGCATCTTAGGTCTTAGAGCATAGAAATCTGTATTTCAAATTGCTACCTGGTGATTATAAAATGAAGCTTGACAACTATTCCCACAGAATATAACATGTTATATTTTTGAGTAAATCCATTTGCCAGTCAATTAAAGTATGCTCTCACATCCACTACAGATTTTTAAGCTGCTCATTATCAATAGTGTTTGTAATATATTGCTCTTAGTTTTGCGACTTCAGTGACATTCAGGATTATTTCCAGTTATCTTACTTTATTTTCATGGCTCTAATCTTTTAGTTAGTAGATCTGGCCCTTCTTGTGAAACAGGACATGGTAACCAAAGCAGGGGACCCCTTCAGTCATGCCATTTCTGCAACCTTCATTCAGTATCACAACTCTGCTGAGGTAAGTAATAAAAAAATCTTGGACAATTCCGTGCCTTGTTTGGTGTTTACATGGTAGTGCTTTGGGAAAGAAATATTATATGGAAGTATGTATCCTTTTGTCAATGAATCTTAATATACTGAACACTCAAACAAGCATTTGTTGAGTAATTACTATGTGCCGGGGCCTAATAAGCCAGTTAATACAATGATTATTCACCTTTTCTTGCTTTATGTAGTTTTTCTCTTTCCTTTGGGGGACAGAGGATAGTTGCAGAGCATTTCTCTTTTCCATGGGAGATGAATAACTAACTGGCTTAGGTAATTGAATAACATTGAAAAAAGTTATTTATTTCTTTATGCCTCAAAGATAAGAGGATTAGTATTATTCATATAAGAACTTCTGGCATTTATTAATAAAATTGCATTCCAGCTATTGATTAATCTCTAAACATGATTTAGAGATGTGTGGCTCCATTTATACTCAGTGTTTAATCTGACCCTTTTAGGTGAAGATATCATCCTTCTCTGATCCAGCGAGTGTCACTAAATGGCAAAACTAAGTCATATATTGCAAACACTATATTGCTGGGATTCCATCTATGGGGACTATAAAGTTTTCTGGCTAATTTTAAAACTTGGTATAGTAATTGTGTGCCACTTTCAACATACAACTATTCTCTATAGGTAGCATGTGCCTAAAAACCAAGAAGATAGTATCCATTGAGTGAATTTGCTACTATTTTAACTTTATTACTAGTATAATATAAGCAATAAGTTCATATAATCCAACCAAAGAACCATAGAGAAAGGAGCAGGAAGTTTAGGTTAACATCGACATGTGTACTTACAATGTGAGCTTTAGATCAAGTTGGGTGAAATATATAACCTGAAAATGGCTAAGTACTGTCTTACCTTTATTCCTTAATTTATATATATATATATACATATATATATATTTTATATTTATATTTATATATAAATAATATCACATACATAAACACAAACATACACACACTTTCTGTTAATTTCTAGAAGTCAAAATGGTGGCACAAATAATTTCTAAAAATTAGTTGTACTCATTTTTAGATAAAGACCCCTTTGAAAATCTGATGAAAGCTATAAGCTCTTATCTCTAGAAACAGAGACCCTCTGAAATTATCCTGTAGGCCTAAGAGGTGGATCTGTGAACCCTGTGATTTAAGTGTCTCTGCTCTGCGTTACTTAGAAAATATTCAGACATATATAGAATCTTATTACAAGTTTTAAAACGTTTGAAATCTTTTTATACCCCTTAAAAATCAGATTGACTAAGAATCGAAGTAGGAATTAAAATGTGTATGCCCTTTTTTGGGAGTCAACCTGTGTTAAAGTCTGTGAAACTTACCCATTTGATTAAACATTTTTTTGTTTCCTTTATATTATAAACCCAAATTGTGATGTCAAAGAATACCTTTTTAAGATGCCTTTGGTACATGTTCACTTTATGAATATGTGTGTAAGTATGCTTTTCATTAACATCAGACAAATTTGTTATAACATTTCTAATTGAAGAAATTTACAGAGAACATAACAAGTCTAGTTTTCCCTTAACATCCAAGGGATTGCTTGCATGGCGAGGAACACTCTTTATTCCTCCCTTACTTGGTTCTCCAGGGTGGCCAAACGGCCCTGGGCCAATGCTCAGCAACCACAGCAGCTGTTCCCAGCTACCCAGCAGTTAAGAAAAATGGCCTATATGTACTGGGTTTCCTGGGCTTTCTGGGAGGTGGGAGCAGGAGTATCAGAAAGTATCCTAACTAAATCTGTTAGTACAAGCCTCAAGCTTTTTCCTTGCCTGGCATAATCCCTGCTTCCTATGTGACTGGTAGTCAGAATGAACATTCACAGAGAATAGAAGTCTTTCTATCCTTTACTACCTGAGAAAACACAAAAATGACCCCTCTAAAGTAAGTATCTTACTCATTTACATTACAAATCATCAACCACTGTGAAGGGTTTTATTGGAGGACTGTGTCAAATTTGGTGCAGAGGGGGACTTTGGAGACAGATGTGATCTGTGTTCAAGGAGACAGGACATCTGTAAAACAGATAAGGATATAAATGAACATGCAAACAAGCAATTCAAGACAGGGTGAATTTCAAATGAGTGACATGACAGAAAATTTGGAGGTTAAAAAAACTCTCTAATTAAAATCAAAGGAGACTTCAGAGAAGAAACTGGTTACTGAATGAAAGATAGGCTTTAATGAGATGGTAAAAGTAGGAAGAATACTCTGGGCATCAGAAGCAGCATAATTATAATTATAGAAGAAAAACCCTGATTAAAATATTCAAGCCAAGATTCATTGAGGAGGGATAGTAAGAAGTTAGATGGGAAAATTAAGGCCTTGAACTTTGAGTTATTAAAGAAGGGTTGAAGGTTTCTTGAAGTGTGATGAGTTCAAGAGGGTGTTTTAAGAAGATTCAAATAGAACCACTGTAGAATATGAAAAATTGGAAATTCAGAGCATGGAGCTAATATACATGCATGCTGTTTTAATGATTCTTATTGTGATATATAAGGCTAGTGAAGCTTGAGCTTCTTGTACTAGATTAGCAAATTTATCAAGTTAATTTTCTACATTTTTTCTAATATACAGTTCATGCACAAAACACAATGATTTGTGGGAGTTATCTTATTTTTCCTAGGAATAATTTGTACCAGATTAACTCCATTGTTTGATAATGTTTCTAGAGAAATAGATCAAAGAAATAGTCTTGAAACCATATCTGAATTTCAGAAAAAAAAAACATTTGCAAAGTATAGTACAGTTTTTAACACACTTTGAAAAGATTACTAAGAAAGTAAATAATACTGTTAGTATGATTGACAGGATAAGGGAAATGCAGATTAATGACATATATTAAAAAGGCTTAGTGACTTATTTGCCTCTAAATTTTTAGGAGTCAATATTGTAATATTGCTGCTAAAGAAACAGTTGGATATTGACACAGTGAAAGATGTCTAAAAGAGTGCGAGTCATCAGTCATTGAAGAGCCCTGAAAACATGTCTTACAGTAAATAATTAAAGGAACTTGAGGTGTTTGTCCTTGAAGAAAAGCTTCTTCAAATATTTGAAGGGCTTCCATATAGAAGACAAAAAAGAATTGCAGTCAAGGCCAAATAAACCAAACAGATGTGATCAAAAAAGAAAAGAGGGAATGAGGTGTGAGAGGAGCCAGAAGGATCTATGTACAGTGGCCCTGAGGCATTGAGTTTGTGTTACTCACAGAAGGATGGTCATCATTGTTAGGAACAAAGTCTGGAAGACTTCCAATTTGGTTGAAATGTTTAGAGGCTCATTTTGAGTCATGTAAGTCTGAAATGCTAACAAAACTTCCAAGTAAAAATAAATGTCTGTGTTTGACCAAATCAGCAGAAACTTTAGAAACTATATTCCAGGAATCCTGATTTTTATCTCAGTGATTAAAAATCAACACATTTGACCCTTAGGGCCAGGAAGGAGTCTGTCATTTCTGTGGACTGAATAAGAATAAAATGTGTTTTTGTACTTATAAGCTTCAAATAGTATTAAATTCATGTGATATTAAACTGAATCTAAGATTAGAAACTCTGATACTTGACTTCAAAGACACATCTCTTTTGGGCAGGGGTCTTGTATGAAGTCATACCCAGACTCCCCTGAGAGCACACCACCTCCTACGCCAACAGCTCCAACATCTAGTTTACAGCACCCAGGGAAGATCATAGCAGCATCCCTAGGGAATGGGAGTACTGGACAAGACTCAACGAAAACCAAGCAAAGGAAAAGGAAAAAGGTTAGTGGTCTGTGTATATATTTGATGTGGAGCAGAGAGATGGTCTTGCTGAGTTCTTTCTCAGATATGGAAAATCCTCTGTTTCTTTTTCCATAATCCAGACTTTTAAAAGCAGCCAATTCACACTTAATTATACTGCATGACTTCTCAACTTTTTAAATACCTGTCTTCTGAATAAAACAATAAATTGATTTTTTTTAAAGATTTATTTATTTATGCATACAGAATTGGGTACAGGCCAAAGGAGCAGAGGCAGTGAGAGGATTCACCAGTCACAGAGTGTTGAGCCACCAGGGAGGGCCTGAGACAATTCACTCTACATAAAATATACTATATATCCCATTATATACTAGCTGTGTGTACTGGAATTGTAGCAGCTTGATGTGCAACCATATTCTGAAATGATCCTTACAATCTTAGACATATTCCTTACCTTCACTCTCTGTTCTTTTTTAAAGATTTATTTTCATTTTATTTATGCATAAAAGAACTGGGGTATAGGCCAGAGGTATGGTATAGGGGTGTGTGTGAAAGGATTCACCAGAGACAGAGGTGGGGAGCAGAACAAGCAGATCTACTGAAATACACTGCTGAGGGGAGCAGTGGGCAAGCTGTGCCATGTGGGTTAACTCCCTGACAGGGAATAGAATTCATGCCACAGTAACTGATGATAGCTTAATAATGCTGATACTTTAACCCAGCACCACCAGGGATGCTAACTCTCTGCTCTCTAAAATGAGGGAGGAGTTAGAAAGTTTAGAAGATGATATCTTACATTTCTTCTAGATTTAATAATGTCTTAATCTATGAATTCAGTAATTATCTCTTCTTTTGAAACTCCTTTTCTAGTTTTAATTTCCTTTGTTAGAGAACAGCTTTTTCTCATTGTTGAAAACTACACCTTCAACAGTTAGCATAACAATTAAACTTGAAATGAGAAAATTCAGTGTAGTGTATGCTATATAACATTTTGCCAAGGAATGGCCCATCTTCATCTGAAAAGAAATCCTCTATAAGAGTGAATCTATGGGAAAGCTCTATATACAGGATGAGAAAGAGAGCAGTCCTTGAGGACAGTGACTGACAGATATATTAGTAAGCAGTATAGTCCTCCCCACTTATCCACGGAGGATATGTTCCAAAACTCTCAGTGGATGCTTGAAACCAAGATTAGAACTGACTATATATGCATTTCCTATGCATACATTACCACTGATAAAGTTTAATTCATAAATTTGAATTATAAGAGGTGAATAACAGCTAGTAGTAAATAGAACAGTTATAGCTATAGACTATAATAATGGTCATGTATGTATGGTTCCTCTCCACATAGCTCTCCCTCAAGATACCTTATTGTACATACTATTTTCTGACCACAGTTGACCACAGGTAACTAATACTGTATAAACAAAACCACAGATAAGGGGGGACTCCTGTACTAACCTGTCATTTGCTGTTAGATGGAATATGTATTACCCTCTGTAACACTTAATATTTCGACTTTAACAAAAGATCTAGTCCCACCAGTATGCATGTGGAAGGAATAAAAATCAATTATCTGAGATTGCAAGTCCTTCTTAAACATTGGAGATTATCGTAGTAAGAAAAATATAAAGAGAAAACATAGGACGTGCTTACCCTGCCAAGATTCAAGTTGGCAAGAAAAAGAGTCTGGACAGACAAAAAACATTTGTCCAGATCCATGGTTGACAAAAGATTGATTATCACTTGCTTGAAACCACAGTTGAGAGTTCTAAGTGCTGAGAGATTTTGTTCATTATCGGCCAGTAAGGACAAGGAGAGCGACAGTACTCCAGTCCAGGGTGTGTGAGACTCATTGTGAGACTTTAGTTCCGTTATCCAGCTTCCGTTTCTGGATGAAGAAACAGAGAGGCAAGCTGTAAAAAATAAAAGAATGGAATGAGAATGCAACCAAGAAGAGCAACTTTACCAAGCCACTTGTACTTAACAAATGAAGAGTTTAATCCCCCCAAGATTTCTGCAAACATTGTAGACAACAGGACTTGGATTCAGTTTTTGAAAATCAAAACATGATCCTTATGTGTCGGTATGATCAGAATAAATGGTTCCATAATGCTAACAGTCCTTTTTGTGTCTACAGCAGATATTTTTTAAGGCCAAAGACAAATATATAGGAATTATGATAATTCTGAAACAATTTTGAAGTTTATTGCAGAAATCCTAGAGTCACTGCTAAATGTAAAAATTCTAAACTTGATAGGAATTTTGAATTTCAACAAATTGTAGCTAATCTAGTGCAGGACTGTTACCAGCAGAGTATGGTAGATACATGAAGATACTTGCTGAGGTAGGAACAGCAAGGAGATAGAATATTTAGACATAAAGATTCCCTTCCGAAGAATTCAATGACCAAGTCAAAAATGTGCCAAAGAGCATGTGGCAACTCCATGGTAATGTTTGCAGGTGCTTCATGATAGCAGATGAAACTGAAATTGCTAAAATTAAAAAATCTTAAGATAAACCTCATGTTTTTGACAGATAACATGATTCAACCAGGCTGGCTGTTTCATACCTACAAATGGTAATAGCAGGAAGTTTCTAGTATGTGCTCTACCTCAGTGTCCCCAAATTACTGGCACACCATTTAATTGTCATGTTAAAAGTTCTGAGGCTCTTTCCAGGATGTTCTATCAAAACCAAAGGAAGAATGCAGTCTCCTTAGCCCATGTGGGGGAAGAAAATGACAGATAAACTTAGTTTGCAGGGAGAAAGGTGATACCCTAGAGGAACATGCAGAAAGGATGCCCTTCCCCACTTTTAATGTACAGGACGCATCCCCCTTGATGTTTCTTTTTCATATTTCCACTGGAACGTTTCTTTAGATTCCAAATCAAATAAATATTTGCATTCACTTCCACAAAAGAACAGAATGCCCCAACTTACTTCACAAGCATCTATTATATCTAGCAGGTTGCTGAATCTATATTGTCATATTCATATTTTAGTGCTGAATGGCCTCATAGAAAAACGTTTACGTTTACTGGATACCTGATATTTATTTGCATGTATCGTGGCATATTCCAACTGAAACCATGGATTTGGAATGAGAATCTAGAAAACATTAAAAAAAAATTCTGTGTACTTTCAAACCAGTGCCAAAGTGAGGGGTTAAAATAAATTAATCCATGTTATTGTGGGCATAGTAGATATGCTATTTAGGATATTGTTGGAAAGATTGGGAATGATGCCCTAGGGTACATTCTTATTTGGCTCATTTCAAATCTGTTCAAATAATAAAAATAATCAAGGTCTATTTCGTTTTGTATTCTGTATCGTATTTCAGAGTTAGCTTGGGTAATAAGCAGATAATCGTGTTTTGTTGGAACTTTTTAATTATTTTACTAGTTCATAATAGGAAAATTGTGCACAAGGTATGAAGAAGTACAAAAAGATAAGCAATAGAAAATAGCCCTTCCAGCCCCTGTTTTTCAGCCACCCGTTCATTCTCCAGGAAATAAGTATTGCTTTGGTGTATGTACCCTTAACAGAAATTCCTATACTTTGATGAATATATAAAGTTCACCATTTCGTTCCAAGTGGTAACAGAGTGCCACCTATCTGGTCATCTTTCAGCTTTTTCAGGTAGCGTATTTTAGAAACAGCTTCTTAACTATGTAGGGCTATGAGTGTAGCCTCATTGTATGGGACGTGTTTGTAAAGCTGCTTCATTCTTTTTGGCATTTGCTGTGGTTTCTGTTTTGAATGATTGTATCATGATTTATTTCAGTGTTCTGTCATCAATAAACACTGAATTCCTGTGTGTTTGTATGTGTATGTGTGTAATTTCATACCAGTGTAATATACCTGTAGGAGAAATTCTTTTAGATATAATCCTGAGACAAAGACAGTTGTACTTTTTCATTTTGAAAAGGTTTTGTAAAATTGCTGTCCACAGAAGTTGTACTAGATACCTCTATAAGGAATATGGAGAGTGGTAATTGTAGTAATTAACAGAAAGACATTCAGTAGTAACAAGTGACAATGAATGACTTGTAGGCTACAGTTACAGTAATGAGAAGGCTACCGTTTCTTCCTCTTTGTTAGTGTTTGATGGCTTGGCATTTGGTATCTAACTCTTCACTTAAATAATAACCTAAGTGTTTTTAATAGCTAATATGTATCAACTTAATTTTCATGACAGTTCCATAAAGCAATTGTAATTATCTCAATTTTACAATTGAGGATACTGAGGTACAGAGATGTTAATTGACTTCATATTGCTGGTAACTGCTAAGGATAGAATCTTGACCCAGTTTGTAGGAATCTAGACCCTACCACTAAGTTGCAAGACTAAAATGCTTGTACTTTACATTTTGATTTTTTAAGTCAGCTTACACACATAGGTCATTTCTAGAGTTGGTATTCATATTTTCATTGTCAGTAAGCTTTGTCTTTGATATGTCTTTGTTCTTTCAAATCTGACTTTTATGAGATAAAGCAGATTGAAGTAGAAAAATTTTAGTTGTTTTTTTTAATCTGAGTATCCCTAGAAAATTAAGAACCAAATTGAAATGATCTTTTATGACAGCCCCACATATTATAATAAATATACAGCAATTTTTATTTTTCACTTTAAAATTGATGACCCTCCAGTTATTTCATAAATATACCCCAGGAGCTCTCAGAAACATTTATAATAATAAATATTGTTTAAAAAAATTTTGAAATAGCTTCCTGTGGTTCTTTCAGCAAGCCCCTATGCACATTTCATCTGCACGCCAGTGGCTGTATTCTTCAATCCCTTGTCATGCAGGCCTAGGTGAAATATTGTGAGTATAAAAACTACATTTGCTAGATCCGCTAGGAAGGGGTCATGGAAGAGTCATCTTTGATTTGTTGATGGAATTTTTTGTAGATGTTGTATATGGCAGCAGTGATGTGCATCCTAAGGGGGAAAAAGTCCATTTTTGTAAGTTTATTTTCATATTTTATACACTGTAGTTCTGTTGTGTGTTTTTGATTTAGTAACAATTTATGTGTTTTCCTGTCGCAGAGTTCTGCGGCCTGTGGTGTTGAGGCTCACAGCGATGCCATCCAGCCCCGCCACATCAGAGAGGCCGTCCGACGCTACGGCCACAAGATGGGCCCCCTTTCCCCGTTCACAGTACGTAATCACAGAGCTATAAAACGTTATATTTATAATCTGAAAGAATTTTGATTTTCAAGTGGTCGAATGAAGAAGCAATGGAATTGTTGAGAGCAATTTGTGGTGACTGTAATTTTCTTGTATAAAAGTGGCATAATCCTCTTGGGACATAAAAGTTAGTCATTTTTGACTTTTTGGAAGGACAAATTTTTTTCTACAAAAATATTATTTTCTTTCAATTACAAATTATGCTTTTTGTTTGGTCTTATATTTTTCTAATTTTCAAAGTTTAGGTTTATAAAATTCTTTTGTCAAATTATATGTATCCAAATATTGCTAGAAGCACTTCATATTTTAAAATTGGTTAGATTGGCAATACCACTTCTATCAAATGTCCTGCTCCTAAGCATACTTTGTGTTGGAAGAAGAAGAAATGATTTCTTTAATGGCTTTGAAGTAAACTGAAATGGAGACAGTGTTTTACATCTTCAAATGGTTCAAAAGCTTATAATCAGGGTTTCTGTTGGTGGTGTTTTTAATGGAGAATTAAAGACTTTTTATTTCAACAGCCTAAAGAAATGGTGTGTATGTGAATGTGTGTGTGTCTCTTGTGGCTTTTTGATTCATATTAATTGAACTCTGTTAAGTCTTGCATTATTTATAAGGTATTAGTTGATACTGAGTAAATGAGATTGATTGATATTACTGAGTAATAGTGGAATTTGCCATTTTTAAAAATATTCATTTATCTTTTAACATATTAAGTCAGAACATATGTGTTGAACATTATACATATATATATATATATGCATGAGACAGTTTTTTCTAAGAGTGGATTTTTTTGCTATCATTTAATAGAAGTAATAATGTCTTCTAAATTATTATTATTCCTTATCTTTAAAGGTAATACTTTCTTTTATTTTTTGTTCATGTTAGTTATTATTAATTGTATGTATTCTCAATGTGACAGCAAGAATGTGTCAGAACTTTTCACAAAATGGTGCAATTATTTTCATTTTTGTTTAATTATTATAATTTGTCATAAATTATAAGAACATAATTTTAACATTGCTGATAAAGCAATATATGCTTTTACATGAAAACTTTTAGTTACTGTATTACATCTAAAAAAAGGGAATAAAATAAATTACCTCGTGATATTTTTTGACCTGGATACTTAAAAAAATTAAGCAATAATCCAAGAAGAAGATGTGATTAAAAAAAAAAATACAATGATTGAAAGAATTTAAAAACCAAGTGAAACTGAAAGAACTAAACTTATAAAAAAGTATTTAAAATATCAAATCCATCGATAGGAACCAAGGAATGAGCAGTAGGTTGAGGCAGTGGAATAGAGCAAAAGAAAAGACATCAGGATCGAAAATAAGATAGAAGTAATTAAAGGGCAGCAAAGGGAAACAGGATTTTTGACAAATAGAGAAAGTTGTAACTAAATTAAGTAAAAGTACATCAAGGAAAATGTATCAAATACAAGAGGAAAATATAATCATGCAGCCTGTGCCATTTCCTCAAAGGAACATAGTAGTAGCAGTGATGGCAGCCACGTTGTTCTCAAAGTTTTTATTTTTAGAGAGACTAGACAGATTGCTTGAGACTGTCTTGGTTGATGACATCTTTAATATGTGTTGTATATGTATCTGTATATCTGAATAGCTATTTTCATTCCCCCTGTTTAATCAGGTACTCTTATTCATGCTTTGTTATTTTTATTATCTAATACTGTGGTATATGGTTACAAGTGTACTTGAAATTACGTTTCGATATAGCTTAAGCTTATTTTTATCTACTGAAAATATAGCCAGTATGTGGTTTAAAAGTAATGAAGCAATTTATAAATTCTTAATTTAAATCGATCTGGAAAATAGAATAAGCCAAGCCTTAGAAGTTTCCCTTAACCACTACCAGAGCAGACAGGCAAAATCAGCAGCAAACGGTAAAGAACTCTACAGAGAGACACTTGAGCTTGTAATCACTCCTCAGAAAGAAACCATCTTGAAGGTCTATTCTGTGACCTAGAGCTATAAGAATTTGCCCAACCTTCAGGACTGAGTATGCTTACTCCATTTTATATCATGAGTAATGTAATCAAGGAGAGACAGTTTTGTGTTATATATTACAACACATAAACTGGCCTTTTAATGTTAAAAATTCTCCTTAAAGTGGAATAGATTGCCAGTTTTTTAAAACTAACAATGTAGCCACCCTGCACTGATCCTTCCATATCTTCTAACTGCTGAAATGTTAGGGGGTTCTTATGTTCATTTCCCTCATGCTCACTCCCTGAGATGATACTTTCTTTGCTCTAGGGATAGTCTGCTAACTATGTTTAACTCCTAAAAAGAAAGGACTCAGATAGCTGCCTCAATGGTGAACATAGATTGAGACCTAGTTTTTCCCCAGTGAAATTTTTTATAAAACATTTTAGTTATGCTATGAACAACTATTTTATCTTTAAAAAACATAGAGATTTTTCCTTTCCAGCATGGTTTCTCAACCTAAGTAGTTGTCTGATGTGTGAATGTGTGTGTGTGTGTGTGTGTATGGATGTATATAGATGTGTGTACATACATTATATGTGTGTATATATACATAATTTAGTATATTCACATTCGATTCATTTACAGCTAATTCCTAATGAGTTGAAGTTGAAGAATTATAGCAACAACTGATTGATCAACAGGTTATATGGAAACTTAATTTCAGCTAAGCAGGATCTGGTCTGGTTAATACATCAGTCGCCTACCACTCGTGAAGTGCTACAGAGACATTTGTTAATAAACCATCCATTCTATTGAACCAATTATGACAGTACTGACTTTGGCATCACAATGTGTCAGACACAACAAACATGCCAAATATGTCACAGCATCCTGAAACAGAACAAATGTTTGTGTTTTAAAGGTATAGGAGCTCCCCTTTCTGGTATTATCACCACACCATATCTACTCCCAAACCACCACAGCCCATCGGCATCATCCATCATGCTCCCTCCCCACTGTGTTTTTGCTCCTCCCCACCGTGTTGGGTGTGATTGGTGATTCCTTGATTTTCTATGTTCTCATGTATTAATCCTGTGCAAAAGATCAGAGAAAAATTCCTTATCTACAAGATTTAAGTAATTTTCCTAAGTTAAACTATTAATCAGTGATTAAGTCATAGAACCAAGGTTACAAATTCAGGCTTACCTACTCTCAGGTCCAAAGTCAGTCTTGAAAAACATGGACTTTTGCAACTGTCCCAGTCCCTATATACTTGACTTACACATATGCTAAACAATATTTAAAGGGACTACATTTACTTTCTTATTGTTTACTTTTCATAAATAATTCTGAAAATCACTTCAGAATCTCTGATTGGTAGTGTTTTCTAGTATTTAATGAACTTAGTCCTCAATGATTTTGATGCTTCTAATCTTATATTGGTTTTCTTAGTAGTTTTTGTATCATGATTAAAACTGCTGATTCTAGAGCCTGGTGGCCAGAGATAAATCCCAGTCCTGCCACCTACTAGCTAAGCAGCTTTAAGAAAGCTTTTTAACCTCTCTATGGCTCAGTTTTCTCATCTGCAAAATGAGCATACCTCATGGCAAAATTTAAGGTGTGTTATGAATTTAACATACAATAGCTCTTAATAAATTACATCAATAATAGTGGAAGCAGTAGTATCTTTAGTATATTTTTGTACTTTATATGTATTTTTTATTTTTCAGATATGAATACAAGCAGATGAAAGTAAAAACATTCTGCCTACCACCCAACCAGTCAGGCACACACAAATGCCCAACCAGTCAGGCACACACAAAAGAGGTCTCACTTTGAATCACAAAAGAAACTAAGACTTGAATAATAATGTGATTTCTTTACAGGCTAATATAATTTATACCTTTAAATTTTAAATGCCATTTAAAGAGTATTGTTCCAGAGAATAAATTTCCATTTTTATGCTCTGGCTTAATTATATCTGGAGATCATTAATGTTTTGTCAATGAACAATGTAAAAATTAGGTCTCAGTCATTGTACTGGGGTAGAGTGGGGAATGGGGTCAAAAGAGTGAGGGGAGGGAAGTGCATCGGACCATGGTGATGGCACAGGGGTGATTTGATGATGGGAAGCCCATGGGGTTTACAACTGAGATGGAAAAAGGCACAAGATGATGTAAAAATAAACTACTATATTATTTAAAAAATTAATAATAAGCTGTCACAAAGGTATCACCACTTCCTGCCAGCATCCAATCCAGAGCAATGTCCCACTTCTTGAACTTTCCCCAAATTACTAGCCCTCTTATAGAGACATCTCCCAGTTCCTGTGGTATTCCTGGTCTTCTTTAGCTAAAGATTATACCCAATCTAGGCCCTCCCTGGTGGCGCAGAGGGTTAAAGCACAGCACTAAGAAGCTTCAGCCACTTGCACATGAGTTTGATTCCCACCTGCCCTGGAGGAGATCCACATGGCGTGGCAGACCTCTCCTGACCCACCCGTGCTCCCCTCATCAGTGTACTTCCTCAATCTGCCTGTTCTGCTCCCCAATCTGTCTCTGGTAAATCCTCTCACCCTCCGCATCTCTGGGCTGTACCCCAGTTCTTTATGAATAAATAAATAAATCTTTAAAAAAAAAAAAAGATTATACCCAATCTAATGATACTCCTAACGGATACAGATGGAATTCTATTTTTAGGAATAGATACAATTCTGAACCAGATTCTAAGAAGTTTTCATGCCTTTTGTATTCTGTACATGCATTAAAACAGACAAAAAGCTGTGGGAAAAAAAATTAGGTCTCAGTAACTGAATAAATGTAGTTACAACTTGATTTTTACATACTAACTTGATTTTGCAAATTAGATCTTAAAAAATAAAATTGCAAAAATAAACTATTATACTAAAAATGTAAGGAACAAATGACATGACCTCAAATTTAAAAACTTGGTCAAAATCATTTTACATCAGTTTATATTTTTGCATGTTATTCAAAAAAAAATTTTCAGTTTGATGAA